CCTCTGTTTTCCTGGGATTCCACACAGGAAGGTGACATCATCCCTCACCATGATCAGGTAGATGGATCCAGTCATGGGAACCCACCAGAGAGATGTCCCCGTCCTCTGTATTCCTGGGATTCCACACAGGAAGATCCCACCAGCCCTCACCATCGTCGGGTAGATGGATCCAGTCATGGGAACCCACCAGAGAGATGTCCCTGTCCTCTGTATTCCTGGGATTCCACACAGGAAGATCCCACCAGCCCTCACCATCGTCGGGTAGATGGATCCAGTCATGGGAACACACCAGAGAGATGTCCACGTCCTCTGTATTCCTGGGATTCCACACAGGAAGGTCACATCATCCCTCACCATCAGGTAGATGGATCCAATCATGGGAACCCACCAGAGAGATGTCCCCGTCCTCTGTATTCCTGGGATTCCACACAGGAAGGTCACATCATCCCTCGCCATCGTCAGGTAGATGGATCCAGTCAGGGGAACCCACCAGAGAGATGTCCCCATCCTCTGTATTCCTGGGATTCCACACAGGAAGGTCACATCATCCCTCACCATGGTCAGATAGATGGATCCAGTCATAGGAACCCACCAGAGAGATGTCCCCGTCCTCTGTATTCCCGGGATTCCACACAGGAGGATCACAACTACGCAATGCTTGATCAGGTAGATGAGTAAAAATGATAGTTATGTATTCTACATAAAAACGTTTCTTAGAATGAATGAATTAATGTATATGTAGGCAGGTGCTACTTACTCCACTGTAGGTGAGGGATCACTTCATAGTGGGCATGAAGGCTGCTCCTGTCAGGAGTGCCCTGCAAGCATGAATCAGGACGCAACCTTCCATCTCCTTCCATGACATTGTGGTGGATGCAGTTGCGCAGGAGCAAGACGACGTGGATGTCACGGTGGCAGTGACCAAAAAGTATGAACCCATGTACTTGAAAGAAGAGGCCCTGGCCTTGCCACCTCCAGCAGGCCTACAAACAGCTCTGAGGGAATTAGCTCAAGATGTGACCTCTTTGAAACAAGAGATGTCCTCCTTTAAACAGAACCCACACCAATCCTACATGGATGAGAATCCATTACGTAGGGACCCTGAGGAGGACTGGAAGTGTTGGCGGTGTGGTCAGTATGGACTTAGATCGAAGAACTGTGGGTCGCCTGAATTCAAAAATTAAAAAACTAGTGGCTCCCAGGGCAGAGGGACGATCCCCAAAGTCCCAGAGTCCATGGTCGCACAGTGATATTGGCTCTTGTCAATAACCAAGAGGTTCCCTGCCTAAATGGCGCCGATTCAGAGATCACCATCATGGGAGTATGATGTCTATGTCCAGCGGTTCAGAGCATAGGAACAACTGGACCCCTGTTGGTTGTCTCTCAAAACAGCCAATAACTTACCTATCCTGATCAAAGGCATCACCTGCGTGAGGATCCAAAAAGAGGACCAGGTGGTGGAGCAGGTTGGGGTTGTGACCTGTGGCCCAGTAAACCCGGCAGTACCTGTCATGATTGGCATAAACGAGCTGAAAGACTTGGACTTGCCTCCCTGACTGGCTAAGTTTCACCGTACCAGCGTGCACGGGGCTGCCGCTTAAGGGTGGTGTGGCTGAGTGATCCAGGCCTACGAGGCCCAAAGGAGGGCAGCCAGGAAATAGTCTGAACAAGTGGGGGTGGCCTGCACTCCCCCAAGAAAAAGTTACTCCTGGTGCCCCTGCAAGAGGTGGTCTGGTTGCTTCCCACTGGGGCCCACAAGAAATTACAGGGATCCCACTGTTTTGGTTGAGCCCCGTAAGGACTCTGTGGCACCAAGGTAGTGGCTGGTGGGCCAGACCTTGTCCAAAATTCAAAAGGGAAAAGTGTTGCTGCAGCACATCAATCTGGGGACAACCCCAATACCACTTCACAGCCACGCCACTATAGTGGACCTCTACGTGGTGCCCCCTGCAGACGGATATGATGTCATTAGCATTAAGATGTCATTAGCATACTACTGCTGGAACATCTGAACATACCCTTTCACCCAACAAAGACTACTCCATCAGTTCCTGGAGAAGCACTTTTGATTGCCACCGGTCTGAAAGACTACAGGATCGCTGAAGCCATTGAACCCCCCAATTCACACAGGGGATACACCACCCATAAGAGAGCGGTACTGCCACATTCCCCTAGCCCTGTGCCAGAAGGTCAAGGATCTACTCTGCAACATGTTACAGAGGGAGGTGATACAGGAAAGCCGTAATCTTTGGGCTGCCCCTGTAGTCCCGGTGCGCAAGAAAGATGGAAGTTGTGTGAACTGTCGCATGCTTAATGCTTGTACCCACCGGAATGCCTACCTGTTGCCTCGGGTAGAGGAGTCATTGATGGCACTGAGACAAGCCAAGTTCTTCTGTGCTCTTGAAGTGGCTGGGAAGTCCCTGTTAGGGCCCAAGAGACTGAAAAAAAGACTGTCTTTATCACACCCTTGGGACTGTTTGATTTAATTGCATGCCCTTCGGCCTAAGCAATGCTCCAGTACAAAGCCTAATGTAAAGATGCCTAGGAGGCTTCAACCTAGAAACCATGTTAGTCTACCTGGACGATATTAACTTCTCCAAGACCTTTGAAGATCACATCAAGCATTTGGACCAAGTGTTGGTGAAAAATACCAAAACGGAAGTAAGTTGGAGCCCAAGTAGAAACGTCCCTAGTATCAGGTGGTGGGGCAGACTTTCCTACCTACCCCCCATGTTCAATGTGGTTTCTAACGCCGTGGAAAGGCGACTTCACCGTAACATGCTGTGACCCTACCTGCTGCTCCAACAAGCCTGCTGGTGACCAGGAGACATTTGACCCTTTGGATCTTCTACCTATGCAAGAGGCCCCTGCTGAATGGTTCCTGCCTCCTCTCTTGCTTGAGCCTCCGGCCTCCACCGACTCAGAGACAACACTGGTGCTGGGATTATTATGAAGGATCTTGCAACTCCTAGTACAACAGACTATTCTAATGTGTCTTGGACCCAGGTGAGGGGGGGGGGGGTTATGGAAAATGCAGGCGACCCCCTAACACCTGCAGCCCCAGAGTCGCAACCTGAAGATGAACCCTTGCTACATGACTCTGTTGATGAACATGAGAATCGTTGCTCTTTGCAGTCCAGCTTGTTTTCACTGTATTGCCTTGACCATGCTTTCTTTTGTAAATTTTCTTGTTCTTAATGCATTGCGATGCCGAGGACAGCATCTGTCAAAAGGGGGGGGGGGGGGGTGCAGGCAGATAGGTGGCGCTCGACCGGTGTGGTACTGCAGCTGGAGAAGTCAGGAGAAACCTGGTTTCTCTATGATTTCCAGGTCTCCTGAGGCAGTGTTCTGGTTGGCTTCACTGCATTCTGTTGACTCTGGTGGCCATCTTGGGTTAGCAGAGCCTTTTGAAGTGCCTGCCCCAAGGTGAGTGGATAAAGTAAAGAGAGCACCCGTCTGTCAGGGAAAGTGATTAGCGGTGTAGAACGGTTCTGGACAAGTAGGGGCATGCCATCCTACATTGGAATCCTCCCCGTTGGGCTCACACTGACCAGGCTGCATTCCGCCTTCAGAGACCGATGTTCAGAGAGATGCTGTTGGTGCATCAGAACCTACTTCATTCTCAAGTTGCACCGAACTGTAAATGTTTCCCAGAATGGCGTCCTCCCGCTGGGTTGTGTGCATACTTGGGCCGTTCCCGTAATACCAGCCTTGTTAATGTCAACCAGCCTCGGTGTGCTTACTGCAGCTGCACCTACCTACAGATATTGAAAGTGGAAACCCAAGGGATTATATTATTGTTTTTAAAGCGGAGGATGAGGACTATGGAATGATGAAGGAGTTTTCAAACGGACACAAGGATGAGATGGAGTCACCTAATACCAGGATTCCCAGCAGAGAGATGTCCCCGTCCTCTGTATTCCCGGGATTCCACACAAAAAGGTCACACCTGTCACGGATCCACGGTCGCCGCCACCAACAGGCGACAATCGCACGACCGCGACTAACAGTAATACAGGTTGGTGGAGTTGAGGGTCGGGAACATAAAGTGATGGAACATAAAGTGATGGAACACTCTGACATGTGGAGATGATGTGTGGACTGTATAAGATGAGATGTTCTATGTGATCTCACATCATAAATCCTTCTATGTTACAGATGTTATTTTCTGCCATTCTGTTGGTTTAGGGTGAAGATCTGATCATCATAAAAGTTGAGGGTGAAGTAGAAGAGACGTATGTGAGGGATGATCAGCAATATACGGAGGAGGCTGGAATGAGGAGGACATTCATAGAGGAGGACACTCCTACAGAGATCAGCACAGGTGACCAGAATATATTCTTCTCTTATCTCTGCTCTGTTACCGCCCCCCTCCACCCCTCCCAGCCCCCATTGGTTCCTACTCCTCTGACAAGGTGGTGTAAATGTAGAAGTAATCTGGGAGGAGGACCAAAGGCCCTTTGACTGAAGAGGGGAGGAGTCCCATCTGGTTGGGACATCCACAGAGAACATTTGTTCCCTCCTATCTCCCTGATCCAGATGGAATCTTGATGGAAGTGAACTAACCCTCTCCTATCTATTGATGATGTTTTTCTATTTTTCCAGGACCCGCCATGGAGAAACCCTCAAAGGATCGTCTCACTTTATCTCCAGGTTGTAAAATGGAAGATGAGGACATCCCAGGAGATTGTGCCGGAGAAAAGACAATGAGCTCCACTATGGATGGAGGACTTCACAGTGTGGGGAGACCATGGGATCCCTCTGACTCTGAGCAACCTTGTACTGTGGGGGATGGGGCCGGGGTTCCATGTGCCGGAGAAAAGACAATGAGCTCCACTATGGATGGTGGACTTCCCAGTGTGGAGAGACCATGGAATCCCTCTGACTCTGAGCAACCTTGTACTGTGGAGGATGGGGCCTGGATTCAGGAGGAGGAGACATTTTCCTGTCCCGAATGCAGTGACAATTTTAGCTCTGTATTCGATCTTATTATACATCAGAAGTCCCACACGGGTGAGAAAATTTTTTTCTGTTCTGAGTGTGGGGAATGTTTTATTCAGATAGGAGAATTCCTCAAACATCACAGATCTCACACATGGAAGAAGCCGTATTCCTGTTCTGAGTGCGGGAAAAGTTTTGCAGCTAAGAGCAGCCTTAACAGACATCAGAAAATTCACATGGCTAAGAACCTGTATATCTGCTCCAAGTGCGGAAAATGTTTTACGCAGAAATACCTCCTTGTTGATCATCGAAAAACTCACAAGGTAGAGAAGCCGCATTCCTGCCCTGAGTGCGGGAAATGTTTTTCACAAGAGTCAAGTCTTACTGAGCATCAGATACGCCACACAGGGGCAAAGCTGTTTTCCTGCACCAAATGTGAGAAATCTTACGTACGGGAAGATAAACTTGTCAGACATCAAAGAACTCACAGGAGGAAAAAGCCGTATTCCTGCCCTAAGTGCGGGGAAATTTTTTTACTGAAATCTGATCTTAGGAGACATCGGAGAACCCACAAAATCATTACGGTGGATTAGTAAAGAAATGTCTTCTATACGAATCGTATGTTGTCATACATCAGGGATCTCGGCTTGATATGCGTCCTCAAGAACACGTCTGAAGAGTGGGTGCCGTGGGAGCTTCACGGATATGATCCTTTCCTTGGTTTGGAGGCCAATTTCGGAGAGACTCCCTTATCTTTCATCTCTACTTTCTTTCAAATCTCCTTTTTTTTTTTTTTGTGATCTCTCTTCTTTCCCTTCCATTTTATTGTTTTTCTTTTTGCTTGTTTTTATTGGTGTTGGCCTCTCAGGTGCCCCCTAGAAACTCATGGATATACTTCAGTGTTTTTTGAGATTTAGGATTTATGGGGTGCAGTGGTGGGAGATCCCATTATAGACATCTGCAACGTTTTTTTGTTTTTTTTTATAGGAAGTCTCCATCAAAACCTCTTTTAGTGTTTATGGAATTTTCTCAGCGGCTCACCTCACTTGGAAATAATTTTTTAATCTGGGTTAACGAGACGCAACGTTTATGATGCCTATTCTAGAATCCAATCTCTCTCTGGCTCTGAATACCGGTTCTTTTGATGTTGTACCCGTGTATTTCTGTAGAGTGAAAAATATCAATAAATAATACAAAATTAAAAAAAAAAAATATGTAGCTGAGCATTCCTCTGGTCTTCATAACCTATGAAAGACTTCAGAAGGGGCATGGCTAGTGCCAAGATGGCCGGTAGTGTCAAGAGTGAGCTTCGTTTGTTTCCTCCAGAATCCAGCTCCAACTACCTGGCACCTCACAACTCCCTGACCAGCTCCAGTGTTTTCAAAGGTACACGACCACTGATGTGAGTAGAGACCGGCAGTCTGCAGCCGCTGAGCACCTCAAATAATTCGCCTGGTTTGGCAGGCAAGATGGCACCTGCAGCCCCCCACACACACGCGGGGACCCAGAGAGCTCCCTGGTCACCTAAGTTGATGCTTCAAAACTGGGGTGGACTGACAACTCATGGGGTCCCCTGGCAATAGGGGATCATGGGGCCCATGTGTCATCACCCACACCCAAAAAAGCCTATGAAAAAGCCAATGAAAGGTACCAGGGGCATCTCATGGAACCCCCTACTGACCCCGGGCCCTCGGGCAGTGCCCGAGTGCTCGAATGGTCAGTCCGCCCCTGCTTCAAAATGATACCCCATGTCGCTTTCTTGGTGCTTCAAAGCGTCTCCAAAGCTTCCATAGAAATCCTTGGCAAAGCTCGCTAACAGCACCTGCAGCTTTTGAGGGGCTTTTATTCACAGTTAGCTTTGTTTTGGAGGTATTGCAGGTATGAGATATCCCAGGATGCACTGGAAAACCAATAAGAATGGAGCATAGCAACTAGCTGATGGCACAAGTGGTGTGCAACATGGCAACACTATACAGGTAAGTGAGCGGGGACTATAGAGAGAGGACTGAGGAGCAAAGGATCAGCAGAGCTGGGGGATCGGAGAAGGAGAAACTAGTAATGTCACACGGGGTGCAGGGTGGGAGCAATATGAGTGGGACCAGAGAGAGAGGAGGATTAGCAAACCAGAGGATCAGCAGAGCTGGGGGTTACTACTGAGCAGGGGATTAGAAGAGCTGGGGGTTACTACTGAGCAGGGGATTAGAAGAGCTGGGGGTTACTACTGAGCAAGGGATCAGAAGAGCTGGGCGTTACTACTGAGCAGGGGATCAGCCAAGCTGGGCGTTACTACTAAGCAGAGTATCAGCAAAGCTGGGTGTGGTGTTACTACTGAGCAAGGGATTAATAAAACTGGTACTACAGAATAAATTTGGGTTTGATCACTACATTCAAAAAGCTGGGGGACTGGAGAAGGAGAAACTAGTAATGTCACACGGGGTGCATGGTGGGAGCAATATGAATGGGGACCAGAGAGAGAGGAGGATCAGCAAGCCAGAGGATCAGCAGAGCTGGGGATTACTACTGAGTGGGGGATCAGCCGAACTGGGGGTTACTACTGAGCAGGGGATTAAAAGAGCTGGGGGTTTATTGCTGAGCAGGGGATCAGAAGAGATGGGGGTTACTACTGAGCAGAGGTTTAGAAGAGCTGGGGGTTACTACTGAGCACGGGATCAGAAGAGATGGGGGGTTACTACTGAGCAGGGGATCAGAAGAGCTGGGGGTTACTACTGAGCAAGGGATCAGAAGAGCTGGGGGTTACTACTGAGCAGGGGATCAGAAGAACTGGGGGTTACTACTGAGCAGGGAATCAGCTGTGCTGGGGGTTACTGCTGAGTAAGGGATCATAAGAGCTGAGGGTTACTACTGAGCAGGGGATCAGCAAAGCTGGTGGTACTACAGAATAAATTTGGGCTTGATCACTACAGTCAAAAACTTGACTTTGACCCCGCTAGATATTATCATCACATTATTGTATTGTGCACACTAGTGAAACTAGGATACCTAATCTAAATTCTGAAACCTCAAACTCATAAAGTAGAATCTTCTTTTCTCCCTGAATAATACTACCAGTTGACAGTTTAGTGGGCTAGCTGGGCCTTGGCTTGACAGATGAGTTAGCTGGCTGGGTCTGAGCTTGACGGTTGGGTGATGTAGGTGGACTTGTGCTTGACAGCTGAGTGTGATAGCTAGATCTGGGCTTGACAGCTTGGTCTGTGCTTGACAGCTGGGTGATGTAGGTGGAGCTGGACTTGATAGTTGAGTGGGCCAGCTAGGCCTGGGCATGAAATCTTGGTCTGAGCTTGACGGTTGGGTGATGTAGGTGGACTTGACAGCTGAGTGTGATATCTTGGGCCTGATCATGACAGCTGAGTGGGCTAGCTAGGCATGGGCATGAAAGCTTGTTCTGAGCTTGACATTTGTGTGATGTAGGTGGAGCTGGACTTGATAGCTGAGTGGGCTAACAGCCTGGGCTGGAAAGCTCAGTCTGAGCTTGACGGTTGGGTGATGTAGGTGGACTTGGGCTTGACAGCTGAGTGTGATGTGATCATGACAGCTGAGTGGTCTAGCTAGGCCTGGGCTTGAAAGCTTGGTCTGAGCTTGACAGCTGGGTGGGCTAGCTAGGCATGGGCTTGAAAGCTTGGTCTGTGCTTGACAGCTGAGTGGGCTAGCTAGGCCTAGGCATGAAAGCTTAGTCTGAGCTTGAAGGTTGGGTGATGTAGGTGGACTTGGGCTTGACAGCTGTGTATAATAGCTTGGGCCTGATCATGACAGCTGAGTGGACTAACTAGGCCTGGGCTTGAAAGCTTAGCTTGAGCTTGATGGGGATGTAGGTGGACATCGGCTTGACAGCTGAATTTGATTGCTCGGGTCTGATCATGACTGCTGAATGGACTAGCTAGGCCTGGGCTTGAAAGCTTGGTCTGAGCTTTCAGGGTAGTTTAGGTGGACCTGGGCTAGATAGCTGAGTGTGATAGTTTAGGCCTGAACATAACAGGTAAGTGGGCTAGCTGGGCCTGGATGTGGAAGCTTGGTCTGAGTTTGACAGCTGTGTGGGCTAGCTGGGTCTGGGCTTGACAACAGGGTAGTGTGGGTGTAACTGAACTCGACAGCTAGTGTGATAGCTTGGGACTTCTCATGACAGCCTAGTGGGCTAGCTGGTGTAAGGTTGATGTAGGTGGACTTGGGCTTGACAACTGCGTAGTGTAGGTGGACCTGGGCTGAGTGTGATAACTTGGTCTTGATCAGGACAGCTGGGTTGGCTAGCTGAGCCAGGGCTGGAAAGCTTGGTGAGACCTTGACAGCTGCGTGGTGTAGCTGGAGCTGGGTTTGACAGCTAAGTGTGATAGCTTGGGTATGATCCTGACAGTGGAGTGGGCTAGCTGGCCCAGCTGGATAGCTTAGGCTGAGAGATTCCAGCTGTGGGCCTACTGCCCTTCTTTTGACCCACCAGGAAAAGGTCCATGATGGAGACACTGCACAGGTACTGCTAAGGCCGCTGTCTTCACCCAGGTGGAGGAGCAGTCAAGAGCAGACACACACATAATCTTCACTGAGCAAAAATTGTCATAAAATTGATGGGCCTGTAAATTTTTATGTAGTTAGGAATTGGTTTTACTGACCAGTTGGTAGTCTTACTCAGAAGTGTCTGGTAGCTCCTGGGAGACTTGCCTCAACTACTGGGATGCCCAGGACAGAACCCTGAAAAGGAGTGCTGAGCTTCTTTGGTAAGTTGACCTGTTTTTTCTTCTAAGGATATATAGTACATACAAGGCACAGGGGTGTGTTCACTACTCTTGGACTGCAAACCCTCTGAGCTCCATAAGGTGATTATCTCACCTGAGTAGGGGGATGCCTCTATGGTATCTACTGGCAGTTCCATGGGAGACAAATACGCCCCATTGTTGATGTCACTAAAAGTTAGAATAAGCCCCATCGGAGTTCTACTTTAAGTGTCAGGAGATCCCTCCACCCAACAGTCGAGTATAATTGCAGTGCCTGGTGATGGAACCAGAAGGGTGTTCCAGCCATCATTGTTGCCACTCTTCACAACATCCTAGAACATCTGGAACGAGGACATGATGGGACAGTATCCAAAATCCCAGGACCATTCTGCAGGATCATAACAAGGCCAAATATTGGCTCATAGAAGGCCTGTAAATTTTTATGTAGTTAGGAATTGGATTTACTGACCAGTTGGTAGTCTTACTCAGAAGTGTCTGGTAGCTCCTGGGAGACTTGCCTCAACTGCTGAGATACCCAGGAGAGAACCCTAAAAAGAGTGCTGAGCTTCCTTGGTAAGTTGACCTATTTGTAGTTCTAAGGATATATAGAACATACAAGGCACAGGGGTGTGTTTGCTATTTTTCTTGGACTGCAAACCCTCTGAGCTCCATAA